AACTTACAATGGATATGTCATCTAAAGAACTGTTATATGCATGATGATTGCCAGTGTTTGGTGACTTCTGCTAAGGTGGTTGCGATAATACGTAAGTACCGATAGTGTTTTGTTCAAATCTACATCAATCAAATTCTTAATTTTAAAATTTTGCCTTGTCTTAAATTTCACCTATCTCTTTCATTTCATTAATCGTATATTAATTGAGATCATCAGTAAAAATGTTAATCTACTGAAAAGAGTTAATCTGCTATTAGGAGGAAACTGGTAGTCTAATTAAGGTGAAATTTCCATGACAGTAAACCATCTATAAAACCATTTGATAACAAAAAAAACTTAGTGTCCCTTCTTATGGGAAATGGCGCAAAACAAAACCATTAACCATGTACAAGCATTTGATACTCCGACCATATGTACATATAAGAAGGTATCACCCTTCTATTTAAGGTATCACGGTTAAATTATGAAAAAGGAATGAAATGATTGTGAAATTTTCATGACAGTAAATCATCTATAAAACTATTTGATAACAAAAAATTCTTAGTGTCCCTTCTTATGAGAAATGGCACAAAACAAATCTATTAACCATGTACAAGCATTTGATACTCCGACCATATGTACATATACCAAAAGAAGAGAGCCACAACTTTAGCTGGTAAGGTGTGGGATGTAATTAATTATGCAAATGTGTAATTAATTAGGGTGGAGGTGTAATTAATTATGGCAAAACACACTATGGCTATCTGCCTAAGGGGAGAGATGCCTTCGTGGAGGACTTTCTAAGGGGAACTGGCTCGTATACACGTTACACATGGGGAAAACCACGAAAACGCCCATGCAGACAGTCCGTTCGCGGGATTCGAACCTCGGACCGAACTACCAGTGTTCAGCGACTTTACCGCTCGGCCGCTGGTGAGCCACACAACTTTATGACCCTTCTATTTAAGGTATCACGGTTAAATTATGAAAAAGTAATGAAATGATTGTCTCTTGATGGGCACCGATACCGACAATACAGTATTCAATCAAAGAGTGATTTTATACTAAAGGATCCAAAGAATACTGACATTCTAATTCCTTTTACTGATAATTCAGATAAAGAGACACTTTTTAAAATACGACAAAAACGTTATATACTTGAAATACCAAAGGTATACTATCCGAACTATACAATATCATTTCATTTTCAGCACAGTTAGAGGAGGCAGAAGACTGCAGCATTGTAACACGAAGCTTATTGGATGACAATTAGAAAAAAATGGAAGCAATCCATGCAAGAAGAGATATGTATTTTAAAGACAAATGGCACAGGGATGTTGAAAAATCTACCCGAACCATAAAAGCATTATATCCTTCTGCATATGTGTCTATAAGATCAAAAGAAATACAGTTGGAAGCATGCACATTATTGAATCATTTAGGAAAACGACCTGTGCGTTTGCAACATTATGTAGCCAGTCAGTTTATTTAAATGAAGGCAATAAGGATTTCAGACATTTTATCTAAATGTTATTAAATTTCCATCTTTCCTGTCCGCCTAATTTTGAAACGAAGTTCTGTCATTCCGGAATTTACACAGATTCGAGTGACGAGCAGTTTTACTATAAAGTTAGAAGAAACTGAGCACAAATTTATTAGTCTCATTATCTCTGTGGATATACAGGGCGCTTTCGACTCGTTGTGGTGGCCCGATGTACTGAAGAGATTACAGGACATGGGTAGCCCTAAGATTCTCTTTGACCTTATTTACAGCTACCTAAGTGATCGCCGCTTACAAGCCACTACGGACGCAGGAGTACACTCACGTTCCATCAATAGAGGCTGTCCTCAAGGATCCTGTCTGGGTCCACTGCTCTGGAATCTTGTAGCGGACACAGCGCTGACCCTCTTTAACACAGATCCTCACACGGAAATACTGGCTTATGCCGATGACTTTTTGCTGGTAACCAAAGGGCACAGCCGCAACGCATATGAGACTAGGGCACAACAAGCAATGGACAAGATGGCCAAATGGGCCAATGACCATAAGTTAACTATTGCCAACTCAAAAACCCAAGGTATGCTTATCTGTCCAGGTAAGCGCCATCGAAGAACCCCGTGCATCAACCTTCATGGGAAAAATATTAAAATAGTCAGAAACTTGAGGTACCTTGGAGTTATAATTGACGACACATTGACTTGGATGCCACATTTAAAGGAGGTCAAGGCACGACTTCACAGGATATTTCATTCCATGCTCAGAACAGCAGCACCAACATGGGGAGTTTCTTCGAGGATGCTTAAGACGTGGTACTCTGTAGTTGCTGAACGTATTGCACTACATGGAGCCTCCATGTGGGGCATAACGATCACTACTAAAATGGAGAATCTGCTACGCTCAGCACAAAGACCATTCCTCCTGAGCATTACCCGAGGATATAAAACCTCGCCCACTAATGCTCTAAACGTGATTTCAGGACTACCGCCTCTGCATCTCTTAGCTCAGCGCGAGAGTGCAATAGTGCGAGTGCTCCGACTCAAAGAGACAATAAGTTTATGGGATAGGACTTATGTTTATACTGACTATGAGCAAAGCATTCCCGAGCCACCTTGCCACCCGGCCGAATTCAATATCTCGATTAACTGCAGGTCACCAACGTGGTTCAACGCCACTGCAATCTACACCGATGGTTCCAAAGGAGAATGTGGCACCGGTAGCGGATACTGTGTTCTACTTGGGAACCAGATCTTAAAGACCTGGGAAAGAAAGCTTAAGCACCACAACTCAGTTTTTCAGGCTGAACTGATTGCATTAAAAGCTGCACTTGTCTACGCACTGGAAAATAACTATTCCAGTATATATTCAGACTCAGCCTCTAGCCTCCAGGCAATCCAAGGCAAATGTAGTAAAAATCCACTCGTCAGGGCCATACAAAAACTCTTACTAAGAACACCTAAATACTATAGGCCTGAACTCCAGTGGGTACCTGCCCACACTGGAATACTGGGTAATGAAATTGCAGATGCAATAGCCAAAAGAGCAGCAACTGACCCCCACGTTCGCACACTTGACGTGCCTCTCCCGGGTTCGTTCTTAAAAGCTGAGCTCGAGAGAGAATTACTCAAACGTTGGCAACATCTGTGGGAGACAGAAAGAAACCACCGGCAGAAGAGTTTACAGATTTTTTCCAAAAGTCTGCCGGCTTCTAAAATCTGGCTCGTCTCACTTCACTCAGTATCTAACAGGACATGGTCCCTTCATGACTTACCTGCATCGCTTCAGACGACGCGAAAACGAGCATTGCTCATGCGGGATGGTAGGAGATCCGGACCACTATCTGTTCGCTTGCAGAGAGACCGCTAAATATCATCTTAGGCAACCAGTAGCAAACCACATCCATGCATGGGCCGAAGCTACTTCAAAAAATCGCAATGCATTGAAACGCATATGCGATTGCATAAACATTGCACGCATAATCTCAGACAGGCTGGAGTAATTCTCAGCCACCATCCTCGTCACCAGCACAGCCCCTGTATGCTCTGTACCTGTAGCGAACTAATTTTATCTTAAGTTAGCTTATTCGGCTTTTCTTATTCCCTGTATATATTTATCTTCTTGAACTGTAAACCTTGAATTATGAACCTTGAACTATGTATTTTGCCTTATTTTATGTATTGTTTCCACTGTTTTGCCTTTTTTTTATTTTATGCATTGTTTTACTTTCTAGTATTTTACTTCTTATTACTTTTAGTATTTGTAACCACCTATCCATTACTCTGTAAATATGTAACTGGAATTGTTCTTCACGCCCGCAATGCACCCTTCTTCCATCATGCACTATCGTCTTCGTCCAGCATTTGTTTGCACTGCCCCCAGCAGTCGTCTTGAGCACAATATGTATTTATAAGTGTGTCTTTTGTTCAAGTTATTTCCGTCAGCGGGGCTACCTGGCCGATATGCTAACTACCCAGTGGACCGGCTGCCTCGCTGTCGGTGGAAAGGAAAGAAAGAAAGCACAATTTTTTTTGTGAACCTCCGGTCCTTTCATACCTTTTCTTAGATCATAAGGTTTCTATAATTTTTTCATAGATAGAGTGAAAACATTATAAGCCGGTATTTTCTTCTAACTGTAACATGTATAATGTTTCTCTCTCTGTGACGATCCCGATTCTGATCTTGAATTAGACAGTGTGATACAAGAAGAGATTCGGAATTGGTAATTAGAACATTTTAATTTATGTTCCACTCTAGGGGAAGCTAGCAGTTTGACGGAAGCTTGTGTTTAGACCAGATCCAGACGATTGGTAATACTGTATTGCATATTATTAATTTAACACTCACAAGTGGTGAGGTAAAATAAACTTTTGTCTTATATCTGTTTCTGATTGAGATACAGATTTAAAATCCTATAGGTGAAAATTCATCTCACAGAATCTATGTATTACCTTAGTTTGATTGCTATAGAGGTAGATAACATTATTTGAACCTAACACAGCTGTTGCAGTAAAAATTGAAAATGTTTTAGCATAATCTTGGATTGCGTTAAAAGAGCAATTTTATGTTATTACATATGTGCATCTCAATGTATTGAGACTTGAGAAGGTATTATTTGTCATTTTGTAGTTTGTTACTTTTATATTTAACAAGAAATGCAATTATTAATGCTCTTCTCTTCTCTGCGTATAGATTCAGAAAGCATAAAGTTTGTATGCCAATTCTAGCTCTGAATATTTACGAGAAAGTCATGCTTACTATGGTAATATGTTCGTGCTCTTTACTCTCAATAAACACTATAGTAAATTCAATGCACATTAAATACTGCTTTACAACCTATCCCAACTCTTCAGTTTGCTTTATACTACTTGGCTTCGGGTTCCTGCAACAATTTTCTGAAATCTCACTGCGTTGATTATACAGCGTGTGACTATTATCCGTACTGCCAAGCAATAGCCGTCCTGGTTCTTAAGTAAGTTGTTTTAATAATGTGACTATAAAAATAAAAGAAGAAAATCTGACAAACCATGTTTCTGTACGTAGATTCTGATTCCTTCCAAACGTCATTCCTGAAGGCTTTTAAAAGTTCTATTTTAACAAATTTATAAATATTTTCGGCCTAAAAGAATATAAAAACAAATATTATAAAATTACTTTATTAATAACATCATAGCAAATAATATACACTTAATGTAAAAATGTGTTCCTCAGAACCGGTAAAAACCGCATGTCATCTGAACGGTTCTGATATCTATACGTGTAAACTTCCTTTGGTATTTATGAATAAACATTCCGACTAAGTAAAAAAATTTAAAATATTAAAGCTTATTAAGAATTCAATAAATATTTTAAAGCATTTTATAAATAAAGGTATTATATATCAAATAACTCTAAAGTTCAGTTTTGTACACATACTCCTGATCTTTTGATACGGCTTCCTGTATGGACAACATATAGATTTAATAAAGCCCATATGCTCAGAAACATTTGGCTGGCGGATTTGAGAAATTTGTTTTCTTTCGTCACTACTAACGATTAAGACATTATTAACTACAAGGCATTCTTTAAGATTTCTACAATTATAGCTCCCCTTGTAGGAGACTATACTACTGCTGTTGGATAATCATTCATTTGTACGGTTTTTCCATGCTTAA